GGAGAGGAGAGGAGAGAAGGAGAGGAGAGGAGAGAAGGAGAGGAGAGAAGGAGAGGAGAGAAGTTCCAATTTTGCAGGCTTTGAGTCTCTGACTGTAGTGCATGCAGGGATGTAAGCTAACTGTAGATGGACTAATTTGAAGACGGTCACTAGGTAGCCCTTTCTAAACTCAGTCTCCTGATGTCACCGCGTCACACAATGCATCCACCTTATTTCTCCGAAAACTAAGTCTTGTACAGCCAAAGCATACACCACACAAATCCCACCTAATGTTCAGGGTGCAGAGAAAACCGAGTACTTTTCAGCTATATAGCAGTTTCCATCCTCCATTTTCCAATTTATAGTCCAAAAGGAAGTCATCTGGTCCTTCATATAGAAGGATAGCTTAGGCTGCAAGCGTTCTCCCCCGCCAACTCGCCACCCCCTAACCTCTCAAAAAACATGACACCCCTCCTGCAACATTTCTGTTCTGTTTTTTCCCATCCTACTTTATGATTATATGTTGACACAGTAAGCATCAGATTTGCATCCAAGTTCCAAATGGCACCTAGAAGTAACATCCATAAAGAATTAAGGCGACAACATATTTTCAATTTTACGTGCAGTACAAGCAGCTCTCAAAGCAAAATGAAATGGGACATTAACTTCACTAATTCTCAAAGTGGTCCACAAATTGTACAAACCTTCAACATTTGCAGTCTTGCGGTTTCTATCCTCTCTTATCCGAGGTGGCCGATATTGGCAGTGCTCCACAGTTTGCCTAGCAACTGTTTGAACTAAAAAGAGCAACAGATGCTCACCCCTGAAAAGAATTACACAATTAGATGAAAATTTGTGAAATGTAAAAGGGACATGGATACAACACGGCAGCAATCTTTCAGCAATTTGGAAAAGCTGATAATTAAGTAATGCTGCGACAGTGTTCGTAACAGGAAGGATCAGTAAAATTAGTTGCATTTTTGATGTTTTCAATCAAAATTCGGGATATCTTTATTCCTAGAAATCACTCCTCCACTAAATTGAAATTTAAGCCTTCACCCCACATTTGTGGAGACAGCACACAACTTGTGTGCGTTTAAAAGAACTAGAGGAGTTGAATTTATTGCTCAAGTCAGCTTCTGGTAATTATGCGCCCTTCAGCTTGGGACCAATGGTACTTCAGAAGTATTTAATTGGGACTAGAATTTTAAGAATTACTCAAGTACAAGCAGCTGCATTCAAATGGACCAATGACTCCAACAGGTCAAAAGGCTCAATTTTTTGTGATGGGAACTACAGTAAAGTTTGCATTATCTGGCACGTCAAAAACTGGAACACTCCACCAACCGACATCTACCATTCAATATGAACTCAATGTGACTAATGTATACAGTGGGCTCACATAAGTGGTTTTTAATCTGTTGCCAGGCTACAAAATGCAATGTTTCCCACAAAACCCACATGTAGTCACTTGAACCCACGTTTAACATAAGCATTAAAAATTTACAGTGGTGCTCAATCCCTCACAAAGAACTTAAGTGAAAATCAAGGGCCTGGTCAAAACAAGCTTAGGTCTTCACTGGAACTCTCCATTATCATTATGACAACTGTGTCAAGTGTTTGGCAAGAATAGTTACAGTCACAGGACCACAACAGCATTTGGAAATAGTTTTTAAAATTAAAGCAGCAAGTGTTGAAGTTACTATTAAAGAAAGTAAAGTTTTTATTCTGTGACTGTAAAAAGGATTCACTGCAAACAATTCCCCACACCCACCCCCAAAAGCTATATTATTAACTGCTAGCTAAACCGCCTTTTTTTTAAGCATCAAAACACATTTTTCCCAAGTCAAACAAAATAGGGCCTGGCTGCTACTGTCTCGTGCCTTGCCTGATGCAATAGCTCTTAAAGGAAACAGAGCTAGGCATCTTTACAGTACACCAACATTCTTGTCATGAGAATTACTTTTCAGCAAATCAAATGATCCTTTCATGCTTCATGGTTCCAGAGGTCATTCAAAACAAAAACATTAGACAAGCTCATCACATACAATTTTTAAAGAAGCTGGAGTCAAAGGTGATTTTATCAGAAAGATAGTCCTAACACTAGGTCTCAGCTAATTGACACAGACATGCACGATGTAAGTAAAGTTGTAGCTTCCAACTTTTAGATAATTTCAATATAAAGATAATCTTGATCTATTTCTGTAATTCAATTACATAAATTATTGCCAACACTAAAGTAGCTCAGCTGCACAAATTCTACAGCTTAATATATAAAATTATGCAAAGCAACCTTAATAAATTCATTCGTCACTAGTAATAACAAATTCTCCCACCTGGTTTAGATCAAGTTGTATAGTTTCATCACATGAAATACCTACCTGCTATTTGGCAGTGTGACGAGATTGGTTGTAGTAAGGAGCCTGTAGAGCAAATCAAGACGAGCAGACTTCTGTCCTGCAATCAACGTTTTGCATTTACACTTTTCCCAGCAGTCACAATATGCTGTAGGGGATGTCCTTTTCAGCCTGGAGGTGGAGTTCCACATGCACAAAATTTTATTTTATATTAGGCGTCTGAATCTTAGAAAAGCACTGAACTGATAGTATAAATGATCAAAGTGAAGAAGTTGTTTAGCCAGATCTGCAGATGCTACAAACAAAGACAAACTTAACACTAGTATAGAAAGAAAACTGAAGTATTATTAGGCTTCACCACCAGATAATACATAAACATGTATTCACGATTTCGTACATGGCAAATGTTAATCTTAGCCATATCGGAGTGTGAAAATTGCAAGTCACCTCAAAATTGGGGAAGATGGTGAAGAAATGGTAATGCCACCATGTTACTAACAGCATGTCATGCGTGTGTATATTTAAAGAGACATGGTTGAATGCATATTAATAAATCTGGAATCAAAGCTAGTATTGGCAATGGTGACCATGAAACAGTACATTATCACACAGATCTGTTTGGTTCACTAATGTCCTTGAGTGTAAGGAAGTCTATGGGGCCTGGCCTGCATGAGACTCCAGACCTACAGCTATATGTCCAACTCTTAAACACTATCTAAGATTTATAAGCAGGCCACTCAGTTTAAGTGTAATTAGGGATTGGAACAAATGCTGACCTTGCTGGCTATGCCCACAAGCCAAGAAAGATGAAGAAAGAAGCGGTTCATGAGTCTTGTAAGTAGCTGGTTACCCAGCATTTCTAGGAAGCACATAGCAACAAATTGCTCCCAACTCAAATTGTTGATAGAATATTAAGAGGGCAATAAAGCTTAAAATACATAACTAATTGCTGTCTCTATATAAATTCACTTTAAGAGAATCAGAATTTCTAGAATGTGGAAAGAGGCCATTTGGCGCATCAAGTCTGCACTGACCCTCCAAAGAGCATCCCATCCAGACCTAAAACCTCCCCCCACCCTACTCCTGCAATTCCACATTTACTATGGCTGATCCACGTTACCTGCACATCTTTCAAAAGTTATTGTTGACTTTTTTTAAAAAGCACAAGGACTGAGACAATATTCATCCTATTTAAAACCGTGCAGTTACTCACTTGCAGTCATGTCCTTTGTGACATACTCTTGCACACTCGGTACAGCAGCACAGAGACTCCAGCAATCCACACGTCCGGCATTCAAAAATATCCTAGCCAAAATTTAGCACAAAGTTTCAGTATGCACATTGATACTAAGTGATATTAAAGTGTACTTAAACTCAGGGCCATTTTACAATACACGGGCAGGTAAAGATTGTACAGACACAACAGTAGCTCGCTTAAATAGATGATTTCCAGTAGAAAAAAAGTGTCCAAGACTTATTATTATGGATACATAACTGAATGGCAGCAAGCAAGAGCAGGGCACAGCGAGCGAGAAAGAGACAGCAAAAGAGATGGTTTGTGTATGGGGTTTGAATTAGTGAGGAAAGACAAAAAAAAACTGTGACCATAAAAATTAGTGTTACACTAGATTTGACAACATTTGATTAAACAATGCACAGTATATAGGTGTATCCAAGGCCTGACTGATCGTCCAAGCCATGTGAATTCTTATTTTATTTGAATACATCTGGCTGAAGTTTAGCTGTTCTGAATACCTGGTTAATATGTTCTGCTCCAGTCCATGTAAAACTACACGTATCATTGCAGCACAAGACATACAACGGAGAGTCATCAGGATTAGTACCAGGTGGACAAATCATGCTCATGAATACATCTTCTTCCTTTTCACCTGAGACATCGCCTGAAGAGAAGAAAGCCACAAGGCATTCATCAGAATCACTCAGGTCAGGAAGCTTATGCAACTAGAGAAAGGAGAACAAAACAAAAGGACTTTCCAACATTGGAGTCTTGATGCCTGCAAGTGTAAATTTAAACAACACGAGCACAAGGCCAAACCTTTGAGTTGTGAGTCTGAGCAACCAAATGAACCGTGGAATAGTCAGGAGAGTTTTTAAAAAGAACAAAGCAGCTTAAGCAATAACATTTTAGCTGACACTGCCTACATCATTTATCTTGTTCTCCCTGTACCATAACAGAGATAAGCAGTCAAGCAGTATACCCATGAAAACAAATTGCTGGAGAAACTTAGGTTTGGCAGCAACTATGGAGAGAAAGCACAGTGAACATTTTAGATCCAGTGACTCTTCATCACAACACCTTGTGATTTGTGACAATTTGACTCGTTTCCTGGTTTCCACTATTTATCAGCACAACACTTTGATTGGTACTCAGGGGTGAAAAGAAGATTAAAAAATTCAATTAAGGCACTCACCAACAAAGACAGGTACTGCCAGCTAACACTCTGGAGCACTTTGCAGAACAAAGCTTCAACATGATTACAATTGTTTTTGAACTGAAGCAAGTCTGGTTTATTATTGGGCTTGCTCAGATGGACTCAGTTGCATGCATGAAACAAGCTCCACGGGTTTTGCTATGCTTTTAAACGTTAAGAGTAGATTTAACTGGTTCCCAAAAAAGAATAACTCCATCAGCTAGATCCTTCCTTCCACATAAGTTTAAGGCTTCTGGCTCTCTTTTTCAGGTAGTCTTAAAACACACTTCAAAAATATAGAGAGCTCAGAAAACCCACTACTATCTGAAAATATTTTGAAGTGTATATGAAGTCATGACTTATTTAAATTAATTCCAAATCCATACAAAACTAAGCAACTGCTGCAATACTGGCATGTATTTGGACTTGCCTGGAGTTTTTATTTCTGAGTGCAGCGCTTCTGTAAAGTACAAAGAAACATGACAGGCCAAAGTAGCACAAGGGTTCTTTAAACATAAAACCTTAGGAATAATTCCAATTCACACTGGAGATTTCCTCTTCAAAAAAGCCTCTTGTTCTAAGTAACAGACATAGAAAACACAAAGATCACCAAGTATAAGTCTGATCTCAGGTCAACAGTAGAAGGTTGTTGCTTAAAGCATGACATGGAGCAGGACTAAAATCGAGGAAGGTCAATGTTTGTGACTTGCTCAAGTTTTGTTCAGTGCAAATGAACATCAAAACATTTGCACAGAGCCAAGCCTCAAATGTCAAAAAAAAAACAGCATACAAATCATTCTGAACTGAGCAGAAAACTTGAAGACAAATTCAGAAACCAGTTCATGATTCTATACTTGCTCAAACTGAGTAAACAGATTACCTTTGGCTATTTTCTGAGCAGTTTCTAGAATAGTAATCGCAGCAGGATAAGCTCTTCCACCAACAGCCAGCATAAAAGGTGTCATTCCTCTTGCATCCCTGAAAATGCAGTATGAAGTTAAATAAGACAGTTTATGATATGAGATTTGTAATTTAAAACAAAATATACTTGGTACAAAAATGCATATAGAATCTAAAATTCTACTACTTGCAAACAAATGTTTTACTTTTAAAAACAGTGGTAATTATTTACTTGGTGAAGGAAAGGGCAGAGGGGGGAAATTGTCTTATGACTACTGTCTTGCCTTGCTGATAAATGTACTTGTCAACATGGGGTGAGTTTACAAATGGACTTTTGACACTTCATGTCCTCTGTCCTCCACTATCTTTTCCATTCAAGACTGCATGGGTAGGAATTCAAAACTGCAGCTAGCTATAGAAATATGTTTCCAGAAGCTACATAAATTTAAAAAAAGTATTCACACATGAAGTCAAAGTCACTGTCAAGGACTTTCAGGTTATATACAAACTTATGAACTGGGAGTAGGAAGCAGCCCCTGTTCCATCACTCAATAAGATGATTAATCCAGTTACTCCACATTCTCACTTACCTGTAATACTCCTGCACTCTCGCGCTCATCAAGAATCTACCTACCTAGGGCTCAAAAATATTCAAGGACTTCGTTTCCACCACATTTTAAAGACGAGAGTTCCAAAGACACACAACCTTCCAAAATGTTCTCTTCAGTCTTAGATGGGTGACTAATTTTTTCCCAAATGTGATCCTTAGTTCTAGATTCTCCCGTAAGAGGAATTATTCCTTCCGCATTCAGCCTGTCAAGACCCCCTCAGGATCTGATGTTTCATTCAAGTCACCTCTTGCCCTTCTAAACTCAGTTAGAAGCCTCGATTGTCCTCCCTTCCTCAAGACAACCTGACCGTTCTGGTCTATTTGTCTAATAACCTTCGCTAATGCACTTCCAATGCATTTAGGTTTTATTTGAACAATGAAAGCAACACTCCAGTTATTATACAGTATGCCAGATACCAATGCCCTGCATACAGAAGCATCAATGAATTACCATTTTTAGATTACATTCGAAGCTTTGAATGTCTGCTAATGTCTGTTTCCACAACACTGGAATAAATGATGCAACTCTCAAGCTGGAAACAGGAAATATTCATGATTTTGCACACGTACATCTTTATTCTGCCCTGCAGTATAATTATATCAAGCTAGGAATTTCAAGTGACAAAAAAACATATTCCATGACATTCTGCAAATAGATTTGTAAAGATATACACAAGCGTGCATTAAAAAACTGAAGTGAGATGCTTCAAAAAAATTTTTTTGAATGCAATAATTTTGAGAGAAAAAAGGTTATTACTATATAAACTCATTATCTGTTCCTTAACTGCTCTGTCACAAACTCATATTATGCAATAGTGAAGCTCCAAATTTGACCAAAACCTAATATAACCATTTACAAAATTGCAAAAAATAAAATTAAGATCAGCTAGTTTGTTTCATTGTATCCATGTACAATATACACTTCACACTAACTTTTAGTTTTGATACATATATTTGTGGTGTCAGGTAATTCTCAAATGTTTGTTTTTTATTAATATCAGATTGAAATCTTATTGCAATATAAAATTATACATTACTTACTTGGCTGAAAGCAATTCTCGAAGGTACGGTCGAAGTACTACACTTTCACAGAGTAATTTTAAGATCAGATGTGCATTAGCTTTTCTATCCTTTGACTCTACTACAGGTGGTTCAGACGAAGGACCTAAAGTGGAAAACACAAAATTGCTTCAAGTTTAAAATGGAGAAAGGCATGTTTTATACCAGATTTTTCTCATCTTGCATAGTTTATTGCGATTATTCACTAATACAAATGCAATCTTACATTGAAGCAAAATTTCAATTCATCTTGGCTTGCATAAATCTGTCTAATGGATAAAGAATTATATTTTCAGGAAACGAACTACGACTTCAAAGTGCTGGGTCTGACTGGTGGAAAAAAAATGTGTATTGTACAAATGCAACAAATTTCCAATCTCAGTAATGCTGTTAAAAGAAAAGCCACGAACAGCAGTCACACATTTTCCATAGCAATGCAGCAACCCCAAGATTACTCTTTAGCTCCTTGCAACAATCTGAACAATAGCTTCCTCATGTATGGTCAAAGGACCTGAAATGGCATGTTGGAAAATAAAGTGCTATACAAGAGGAATATATTTTAAAAATATTTACAAATATAAATAAGATATAAAAAGGAGAAAAAAAGATCATTCAGTCCAACAAGTCTGAAATTCCTCCGATGTATTTATATCGCACTATGTATATCTCTCCACTACAGAGCAGTCCGTTCATTATGATTACCCAACTCAACAGCTTGTTCCTGCTTTTCCCCCATACCCTTTAATGCTAAGTGCCATATCCAACTCCTCCTCTAAATTATACAATGTTTTGGCCTCAACTGCATTCTGTGGTAGTGAATGTCACAGCCTCTCCACTTTGGATGAAGAAATTCCTTCTCATCTCAGTCCTAAATGGTTTATATTGCATCCTTAGATTGTGATCCTGCCATCAGGAATATCATTTCTGTAACTACCCTGTGTCATCCAGTTACTGAATTTCACAGGTTTGTATGAGACTGCCCTAGTCATTCTTTTGAACTCCAGGTGAAAATAATCCTAACTGATTCAATCGCCCCTCGTCAGCCCCACCATCCCAGGAATTAGTCTGGTAAATCTTCACCGCACTCCTTCCATATAGCAACAACGTCCATTTTCAGATAACAATACAAAAACTGCACACAATATTCCAAATGTGGCCTCACCAAGACTGTGCATAATTGCAGCAAGATATCCCTATTCCTGTATCTTTTTGCTAAGACCACATACCATTTGCCTTCTGCATAGCTACCTGTA